AGTTGCTGTTTTCTTCCGTCCACTTCTTTGACGTCGGGCTACCAGTATCACGGTACCGAGTGATGGTACGAGACACAAAATATTTATTCACATTTAAATGATGGAGTATTCTAACGATAGCCACTTGTGGTTTTCTATCCAAATATAAAGAAATCACACTATCACGTTTGAATTCCACTACGAATAAATTTTTTTCTGGAAAATTCTCACCAAAATGCTTTCGTACGCTTGTAAACAATATAATGAGCTGTCACTGGAATAATTTTAACAGCTGTCGCACGAGTGGCTTAGAAAAGACAGCAGTCTGAAGTTGGTTGCAGTTTTTTCATCTCACCCTGTACAAATGTCAGATCAAAAATTGTACCAAATATTGTACTATTTAGTACTTTTCGTTCACATTTAGTACACATTTCCAAAAAACACCTCTTTATTATAAATCTGCTATCCATACAGGGGCCTAATACAGAATTCAAGCTTCTTCCGTTCACCATAAACCAAACAGTTCCAAATTAAGTACAATTTAGCACAGTTCGCACACTTAGTACATATTTCGAAAACCACCTTTATATATCAAACTTACTTTCAAACCTCGATTCTCATACCAAATTTCAAATTTTTTAACTCTATCCGTACACATAATGTCAAATGGTACCATTTTAGAACGTTAGTTCCGTTTTAGAACATTTCGTAACCTTAAAGTTCGAATTTTCAAAATAACTTTGGTACGTCTCTGATTTTTATTCTAAATTTCACAATTCTAATCCATTCCTTGTTTAAGTACATTTTAGTACTTTTCGTACACTTTTAGTACGATTTTTCAAAAACCCAGTCTTATCACACCCGTACGCAGCAAGACTGGCCCTCGTGCAAAATTTCAAGATTCTAGCCGTTTGTCGTTTATGCGTTGATTTTGAAAATGCCACATTATATTTGACTTTAACATGATGTGTAGACTAGCATTTGGAGCTTATCAGTTCATTTTTATCTAAGGGATCTTCCTTCATTTAGTAGGGGTGTTTGTGGTTTTATTTCTTATTTTTGTTAACTTACCTACCCAAAATACATATTCTCTGAACATGAATTAAATAAAAACGGCATTGTTTAATTCGGCATTGCTGCGTTTTTAGTATATTCTAAAATTACAACATTGAAAATATTTAGCAATTTGATGAGCACAAGTTTAAGCGAATGTCGAAATTCCACTGGATTTGCAGACAAAAATTTGACATTCAAAACGTTCACGTGTCATGCGAAATGGATATTTGTGAGAATATAAATAAAAATATTGACCTTTATTTGCATTGAAAAAAATATCTAAATTTAGTACCGTATCCAATGAACTCTTCTTCCCAAGGAATATCAGATTCATGTACTCAATAAAACATTCCATGTACTTTGTCTTTTGCATAAGTAAAAGAATTTTGTTAAATATTCATAATATTTTACAAAAAAGGAAAAAATAAACAATTACAACGAAATGAAAACCCCAAAGTTTTCTGCTCTGAAAAAAAACACTGTTTTCTATTTGAAACAACGCAAAACAATAAAGTATGCCAACAAGAAGACTTGCATTGCAACGTGACTTATGTCAAGTGTTGAAATTTTCAACACTCGTTTCTTGTTTTTTTCTTTGTTGTGTTTTAAAAGGACACCAGCATAACCGGGTGTAGGATTTGCCTAATGCTAATGAATGAATGAGAGCGTGAATGCCCAATGCTGGTGTTGAATTGGTTAAACGCGAGGGTGGTAAAATATTTAACAAAAAGATATTGTTTTACACATTGTTTGGTAATAGGAAACCTCGTCAAGTGCAAACGTGGACCTATTCAGACATTGGCAAACATTGCTTACGCAAAATTCAAAACATTATTACGTCTGTGTATGAATTATGCAAAAGTTATGACCAACACCAACATCATTTAAATTCATATTCTTTCTTAGTTCTAAGTTTTTGTTTTTTTGAAATATCCGTAATGTTATTTATATAGTCATTAGCTTTTTAATTACCAACAGCAAAATTTTGGTTCTTTTTCTTCGTCAATTGCAATAAACATAGGTTTGGTTGGGGAGGATTTTAAAATTTCTGAAGTAACACAGTTTGCAAAATTCCTACTTACTTTTAGAACAGAGGTGGCACATAATTGTTGGCATACCCAGTATTTTTTAATCCCTCCACCTTGAAAGGGTGAAAAGGAGGTTATATTAATTTTTCATTCCATTAACGATGTCGGTATGTATGTCTGTCTGTTGAAATCAGGTATGTCTGTTGAATATAGGTATTTTGATGATTTTCGCCACATTTTTTCACGGATTTGTCTAAAAAATTGTATTTGTAGGTCAATATACCCGGTTTCGGTACTTTTGATAATCCTAGTCTCAATTATCCACGAAAAATGTTTTAAATTTGGTATTTAAGAAGATTTAGTAGATGGCAATCCTTGAAGTATAAAATTGGGAAATATAAAGAATGGGAGTTCCCGTTTTCGTATGACCCCATATAACGGCCTCAAACGGTCTTGCTGGTATTTGTAGTTTAAATCGGAATACGTTTGAATTCATACCCTTCAATGGTGGAGGGTATTAAAAGTTCGGCCCGGCCGAACTTAATGTTTTTATACACACAGCCATATGGCCAGAGAGGGTATATATCATTTGATACGGCCAAAACGTGCCTCATCGAAATAACGGTTTTAGACCCTAGGTCTGTTTGGACCAAATTCGTTTCAAGACATTTGGAGTCGATCTAGCGATGTCCGTCCGTCTGGCTGGCTGATGCGCACGATAACTCTTGAAGGGAGTGTTCGATTTGGTCCAATCTCGGTACATTGTAATATTATTATCAAACTTAGATCGAGCTTGGAGATGGGCAATATCGGTCCACTCCTTCTGCTAGCTCCCCTACAAAAGGTCAAAAATATCACAGAAAATTATTTTCCTCACAGAACAAGAAAGGATAATCCAATTTTGTGCAAACTTTTCAAATCCCAATATTTGTATCAGTTCTAGATCAGGTGCGAAATTGGAAAATATCGATCCAATCCAACATGTACCTCTCACACAAAGCGTCAACATGTTGGGTAAGGGTCACTCTTGGTCCGAAGGGGTCAGATAAGGCTGGGTTTTTGGAAATTCGTATTAGAACGGTACGAAAAGTATAAAAAGGTACTAAGTAAGGTAACCTTTGTATTTGAGGAAGCAGTAGATCTAGAACTCTTAAATTTGGAATAAGGGTCGCTATTTAAATTTAGTATATTTTTGGAAATTCGTACTATTAGTGTACGAAAAGTACTAAAATGTACTACAACGGTTAGACCTAAAAACTTGAATTTTGAAATGGGAATGAAGGTTGAGGAGTAGCGTCGATGTAAGGAGGTAGTTTTGGAAGTGTGTACTCATTAATACGAAAAGTACTAAACGGTAATAAATTTGTTACAATTTGAATTTGGAGGAAATTAACATTAGTAGACGGAGTGTAGGATTGGGGTTTCAAAATTTGTACTTATGTGCATGAACGTTACTAAACGGTACTAAATTTGGATTTGGGTGAACCGATAGAGCTAGAATCCTGAAATTTGGAAACAATATTACTTTGCATTGTAGGAATGGGGTATGTAGGAGGTTTTGAAAATTCGTACTTATGTGTACTAAATGGTACTAAATTTTGCATAATTTAAATATTAGGTAAACCGGTAGAGTTGGAAGCCTGCAATTTGAAAATAAGCACTACACGAGTACAAAAGGTAAAAAGGGTACAAAATTTAATATTGATCGTATAGATTTCTTATTTCGGATAGCTAGATTTCTGGGTTTTGGAGGTTGTATTGGAAATATGTACCGTAGATGTATGAAAGGTATTAAATGGCACTAAAATTTTAATTGTGGTCGATGTTCATGTGTAGGTTTGAGATATGAAGTGGTTTGGGGAATTACGTACTAAAAAGTACTAAATGGTACTAAATTTGGTATGTGGGTAAGGAATTGTGTTGAAAGTCCAAAATTTGGAATTAGGATCACCTTTTGTGCGACTTGGTTGATATATGGCGGGGAACTTGGAAATGTCTACTAAAAAGTACGGAAATTACTAAATGCTATTAACTTTGGTACTTGGGGAAGAAATAGAGCTAGAAATCTGAAATTTGGAATAAGAGTCCTTGATAATGCGTAGAATAAACAAACTAAAGCGTTTTTCGAAATGTTAAGAATATTTGTACCAGAAGTACTAAAGTGCACTAAATTTGGTACCATTTGGAATTACATAAACGGATAGGGAAAGAACTTTAAAACTTGATATGAGAATCAAGTCTGGCAGTAGGGTTGGGTTTTGGAAATTATTCATCCAATTTATAACTTGATAATAATAAATTGTGGTAATTTATTTTGGGGTAAAAAATTATCTTAAAAAAGATTCAGTTAATATAAATTCCTTATTCTGCATACGAAGTAGCGGACAGTTGCTAGTTACTCTTATAAAATGCGAAGTAAACATCTGATTCTCTTCGATTTTCGTACGTCACACTATTTTTATTAACTTAAGATCTGGTGTGAAGATGGATTATGTCAGTCCACTTTTTCTGGTACCTCCCCCACAAAGCGTCAAAATTTTTAATAACTACGAAGCTCAAAATACGCGACATGAGCATCTGATCAAACTAAGCACATCCCTCACGCACATTTCTTAATTTTCCAAAAATAAAGTTGAATGAAGTATTCGATATAGCCGAAATTTGGCAAATTGTATGAGACTTAGGTCAGATAAGACATGGACAACATTGGTTCACCCCTTTGGAACCTCGCCCCATAAAGGGTCAACAGTTTGAATAATCATAACGCAAGTCAAAATATATTCAAATAAACGAACAGTGGCTGAGGGTATACATCAGTTGCAAAACTTTTAACTTTTCATAAAAAACTACAAGTTTACTTAAATTTTAGTATTTTATAATATTTTTTTTGGTCTTTAATTCTTTTAACAATGTTTTTCTTCTCTATTATTTTTACAGTGTCGCACAAAAAAGGAGGACATTTCTTTATACCGCCGACGTCATTGTCAACTACAACACAACAACAATGCTCAGTCGAAAATGTCAATTTGTCATGACGATCGGATTATTATCTGTCATCTGGACAATGTTGTTTACCGGTGCAATGGCACGTCCAAATCTGGATGCATTGTTGGCTAAACAAAATGAAGTCTCACAATTACTATTGGACGACTTCTTGATGGGGAATTCAAATGGTGGCGATAAAATGTTTCACGGCTTGGTATGTAAACTATTATTATTATGCACACACACATACATAACTATACATTAGGTAGAAGAATATTGGTAGATGCATCAGCTATTGTGAACATGGGAATGTCGACAATATTTAAATATTTCTGGAAAAATAAATTTTTAAATATTTCCTTATACCATGTCATTCAGAGGTTGTTATGAAGTGTGCAACAAATTTTAGCTAATTTAAATTAAATTTCACTGATGCGGCCACCTGTATTATTTTATCATGATTATTATATTATATTGTATAGATACATTTAAATAAATAACTGACTCAAAATCAACTCCCAGACGAAATGACTAAAGCTAGAATCTTGAAATTTAGCACGAGGGTCAGTCTTGGTGCGTAAACGTGTTTTAGGGTTGGTTTCTTGGAATTTCATACTAAAAGTGTACGAAAAGTAATAAAAATTTAATAATTTGTATTGGACAAACGGGATGAGGTAGAATTCTGAAATTTGGAATTAGAGCCACCGATGGAGTGCAGGATAGATGTTCCAAGTGGTTTTTGTGAAACCGAACTTCAAGGTTACGAAAAGTTCTAAAATGGTGGACATAGGTAACAGCTTTCGGAAATGTGTACTGTAATTGTACGAAATGTGCTGAATGTTACTATATGTTTTGTATTGGCTGAGATTACACATAGTATCCATCCTTGAGATTGGGTGGTGGTTTGGAAATGTATACTATAATACAAAAGTACTGAATGCTACTAATTACCCCTCAGCCATATGGCTAGAGAGGGTATATATCATTTGATACGGCCAAAACGCGCCTCATCGAAATAACGGTTTTAGACCCTAGGTCTCTTTGGACCAAATCCATTTCAGGACATTTGGAGTCGATCTAGCGATGTCCGTCCGTCCATCTGTCTGGCTGGCTGGTGCGCACGATAACTCTCAAAGGGAGTATCCGATTTGGTCCAAACTTGGTACATCGTAATATTATTATCAAACTTAGATCGAGTTCGGAGATGGGCAATATCGGTCCACTCCTTCTGGTACCTCCCCCACAAAATGTCAACAAAGAAAATAATTTACTGCACAGAAAGAGAAAGGATAATCCGATTTTGCTCCAACTTTGCAAATCCTAAAATTTGCAACAGTTCTAGGAAAAGTGCGAAAAATATCGGTCCACTTCATCAAGTACCTCCCCCACAAAGGGTCAAAATTTTGGATAGTTATAAAATGTGATGTAAGAGTCCGATTGTCTTCATATTACACACATCACAATTTTTTTTACTAACCCATGGTCTGCTGTAAAGATGGAATATATCGGTCCACACCTTCTGGTACCTCCCCCACAATGGGTTAACATTTTGAATATCTATGAAGCTCATAAGACCCGATATTTGCATCCGATTACATTCAACCTTGGCACATATCAATATTTCTATTAACACAAGATCTATTATAAAGATGGCTGAGATCGGCCCACTTCTTCTGGTACCTCCGCCACAAAGGTTCAAAGTTTCGGATTTCAAATTTCACACATCCCCTTTCATTTTTATTTCTACTAACACAAGATCTGTAGTGAAAATGGGATATATCGGTCCACCCCTTCTGGTACCTCCCCCACAAAGGGTCAACATTTTGAATATCTATGAAACTCCAAAAACGCGAAATTAACATCCGATTCCATTCAGACTTGGCAAATCTCAATATTTCTATCAACACAAGATATGTTATAAAGATGGTAGAGATTGGTTTATTTCTTCTGGTACCTCCCCCACAAATTTTAAATAACCGAAACGATCATAAAATCCGAAATAAGCATCCTGTTCTTATAAAATTGGATACAAATGTTCGATTTCCTTTACATTTTACACGATACACGATTACACCAATATATTTATCTATATTAGATGAAGTGGAATATTTCGGTCCGCTATATCTGGTACCTCACACATATTTCCACATTTTCCAAAAATGTGTACATATCTCATGTAAAGTATAGGAAGTAGACGATATAGTCCAAATATGGCACGTTGTAATATTTATATCAGACTCAGGTCAGATACGATTTGGACAATATTGGCCAACTGCTTCGGTGCCTCCCCCATTGAGGGTCAACAGTTAGAATAATCATAACTCTAGGCTGGGGGTATACATCTGTCGGCAAAACCGACTTATACTATTTAACTAGTTTTGATGGTGTCCAGAATGGAGATATGTAGATTGTTTTCTTGACCGACTTTACAAACATTAACCCCAACCACTTATCTCTCTCTACCTTTTTTCTTTTAGAAAAAATATCATCCGAAACAACCCAATTATTTGGCCAAATGGCCAGGACTACGTGATCTCGTTTTTACCATCGACTATGATGATGATATTACAACAACATTGGAAAATAGTGAATTTTTGGAAAGGCTACGCCAGTTAGGCGATACTCAGTCCAATGAATATTACGATGAAATACGTCAGTACAACGATGATGTGGCAACCATAAATGGCAGTGGTAGCAGTGGCAGTGGTAACAAGGCAAAGGCTGCCAAGTCCCCAGCCAATCAAATCATCTTCAAAGAGCACAACACCAAAAAGAATGTACAATGTAAGTTGAACAAAGAAAGAATGACTCGATTCGAAATTAAATTTAATTTTAATTCCATTTGTATTTCTTTGTGTCTTGTGTTGTCATGTTGTGTTGTGTGTGCATGGGAAATTTAGTTCGTAAAAAATGTAAGTTAGTCAATTTGATTTATTTCTATATATTTGTATAAAATTATGCTTTGTATTTTTGTTCTCTTTTTTTCATTTTTAAAAAGCTTTTTTGAAAAAAAAAACCGATGGTCTGCCGATATTTTTAAAAATGTTATTAACTCCAAAAGTGTTCTTTAAAAAAATTTGATTATTGATATAAAAGTCCCTCGCTAATAACTCTGATAGTCCCTCAAAAATCGTTATACATAAGAGAGTAGTGAAATGGCTGAATGACTGAATGGCTGACTGAGATTCAATGCCCAGACGAAATAGTTGAGGCTAGAATTTTGAAACTTTGCACGAGAGTCAATCTTGTGTGATTAGGCAAGGTTTTTGGAATTTCCTAAATGTGTACGAAATGAACTAAAAATGGAATACTCTATATTAGGCAAACGGAACGAGATAGAATTTGGAATGAGAGCCACTGATGGAGTGCAGGATAGATATACCAAAGTGTTTTTGGAAATTCGAACTTAAAGGTTACTAAAAGTTCTAAAATTTGTATTATGTGTGCGGGCAGAGCTTTAAATCTTGAAATTTAGTATAACAAGTTAACAAGATCGGTTTCGCCGACAGATGTATAACCCCAGCCTTGAGTTATTATTATTCTAACTGTGGGGGAAGTTCCGAAACAGTTGGTCAATACTGTCCAATTCGCATCTGACCTAAGACTGATATAAGTATTACAACGTGCCATATTTAGACTATATCGTCTACTTCCCATACTTTATATGAGATATGTGAAATTTTTTGGAAAATTGGGAAATATGCGTGAGGTACCAAATATATTCCACTTCATCTAATACAGATACAAATATTGGTACGTGCAAAATTTAAAGGAAATCGAAAATTTATATCAAATTTTAACCCTAAGAGAAATAATTAGATATAACAAGTTGTATAGAATCGCCGACTTGTTTCTCAAGTTATGACACATATAAGTATTGAAAATGCGATTCTTTGTGGGTGCGGTACCAGAAGGGGTTGGCATTTTTCTATCATCTTCACAACAGGTTGGATGTTTGGATGTGTGAAATTTAAAAAGAGTTGGATGCTTATTTCGGGTTTTATGAGCTTCATTGATATTCAAAATGTTGACCCTTGTGGGGGAGTTACCAAAAGGAGTGGACCGGTATATCCCATCTTTATACCAAACCTTACATTAATAAAAATGTTCTGATGTGTGTAATTTAAAGTGAACCGGATGCGGATTTTATGATCGTTTTGGTTATTCAAAATTTGAACCCTTTGTAGGAGAGGTACAAGAAGGAATGATCCGATCTCTACTACCTCCATAAATGATCTTATGTTGATGGAAATATTGAGATGTACCAAGTTTGAATGGAATCGGATGTTAATTTCGTGTTTTATGAGCTTCATGGATATTCAAAATTTTGACCCTTTGTGGGAGAGGTACCAGAAGGAGTGGACCGATATATTCCATCTTCACACCAGATTAATGAAAATATTGTGCTGTGTGTTATTTGAAAACAATCGGACAGTTACATCAGATTTTCAAAGAGTTACAATTATTCCAAATGTTGATTGTTTGTGAGGGAGGTACTTGATGGAGTGGACCGATATTTTCCATTTTCGCAGCTGACCTAGCACTGATCCAAATATTAGGATTTGAAAAGTTGAAGCAAAATCGGATTAACGTTTCTCTTTCTATGCAGAAAATATATTTTTGGAAAATTTCGACATTTTGTGGGGGAGATACCAGAATGAGCAGACCAGACCTTGGGTTGATAAAAATATTGGGATGTGTGAAATTTGAAGACAATCGGACCCTTACATCACATTTTACAAGAGATGTAATAATTCAAAATTTTGACCGTTTGTGGGAGAGGTATTTGATGGAGTGGACCGACATTGTCCATTTTCGCAGCTGACCTAACACTGATCCAAATATTAGTAGGAACAAAATCGGAATATTCTTTCTCTTTCTGCGCCGTAAATTATTTTCTTTGAAAATTTTGACATTTTGTGGAGGAGGTACCAGAAGGATATATCTCATCTTCACACCAGATCATGAGTTAGTAGAAATAATGGGACGTGTGTAATATGAAGAGAACCGGATGTTTATATCGGATTCTATGCACGTTTTGATTATTCAAAACTTAGGTCCTTTGTGTGGGAGGTACCAGAACGATTGAAAATATTGAGATGTGGGCCAAGTCTGAATGGAATCGGATGTTAATTTAGTGTTTTAAGAGCTTGATGGATATTCAAAATTTCGACCTTTGTGGGGGTCCTTCAAGAGTTACCGTGCGCACCAGCCAGTCAGTCAGACGGACGGGCATCGCGAGATCGACTTCAAATGTCTTGAAACGGATTTGGTCCAAAGAGTCCTATGGCCTAAAACCGTTATACGGGCTAGGCACGTTTTGACCGTATCAAATGATATGTACCCTCGTAGCCATATGGCTGAGGGTATAAAAAGATTTATTTGAAAAATTTACACAATTGCAGCTCTGACAAAAAAATTCTTTGGATGCCATGATTATATTATATATAAATATGTAGATAGTCCCCCTAAATGTTAAAAAATTGCAATATTTTAGCTCGGAATGTCCCTCAGAAATATATATCTTAAAAAACGATAATAGCTTAAATAGATTTTAAAATTTATTGTAAAAAGTTCTTATAGTCCTTCAAAACACGTTTTTTAAAACTACGAAATCTTCAACAATTTAATTAAAGGTCCACGACATACCAAAAAATTCGACAACTTTTGCTCTTATAATCCCTTAAAAAGATCGTTTTAAAATGTCCACAATTATGGCTGTGGCAGTTGCTCACAAATTTTGGGTTATAGTTTTGGTAGTCTAATGAAGAAATCTTAATAACTCAATGTTATAAACCCGGTAGTTTTGTAAAATATTGTTTAAAATTTAAAAGATTAGATAAATGATAGGGCCGCAAGAAATATTCCTTAAAAGGCCAAGATTATATATTTAATAGAACCACAAAAAAGCTACAAACCTCCCAAGTACAACTCTGATTGTGGTTAAAAGCATAGTCTAAAACAGAATTTTCCACTATCCCCTTTTTTTAAAAATTCCATTTAAATTTCACTAAAACTTCACTATCATAAATTTTAATAAACATTGTTTCTATTTCTTTTTTTCAGATATGTCACCGTGCCATTTCAAAATCTGCAATATGGGTCGCAAGAGGAATGCCCGTTTTCTTGGCTATTGAAGGACAACATGTAATGGAAATTATTTTGCAAAGAAATCAAAAAATGGCCAAATACAAATATCAACTAATCTCAATATCAAAAAAATAATTGACAAAAAAGTATTCAACAGTTTCTTTTGTTCACAAACTGTATTGGAAATGAAATTTCACGACAACAAGAAACTGTACCCCCTGAAACTCCAAAAGTATTTATTATTATTTACATATGTATAGTTGTAATGCATACAATATATAAAATGACGGAATAGTCATGCATTTTGTTATATGTTTCCCCAAATGGCAGATCATTATGATGATAATTAAATATGAACATAATGATCTTTGTCAATTGTTTTGTTTTAATGTCTTAAATTATAATAAATATTTTTATATGTATGTATGTAGGTTTATTTCATGTAGTTTTTAGTTTAAGTATTTAGAAGCAAATGGAAACGGAAAATGTATTTCATTGTATAAGAAAAATTATCTCAACAAAATATTTGACCTAATATTTTACAATAACAATATTTACTGGCAATACTTAATAAAGAGTCCAAAATGTAATAATTGAAGTTTTTGGTATTTTTTATTATTAATATATTTAATAATTTAAACTTCCATTATAGAACATGATCAGAAAGAGTATTGAAAGTAGAATATGTTTCTACTGCGAATGATAATACATGTAATACCCTACAACACTATAATTGGTTCGATGTCCCCTTATGTCCAAATCCATTTTGGAAGATTTCGTTTTTGAAATAATGTCAAAAATAATGCTCCTGTCCTTAACTATCTTCTGATGCGAATGCTATTTTTTTTTTAATTTTTAGTCCATTTGAACCCCTAAATGAACATCTTAAGAACAATAGGCTTTAATTCTGACCCTAACCCTACCGCCATACAAAATTTCGTGAGGATCGGATGGTAACTGCCACATGCATATAATACCCTCAAAACATAGTGTTGCTAAGTGTAAAAATTTACAATTCAAAATTGAAGTCAAATTGAAAAAATCGCATGCGATAAAAATATATGACAAAACTTATTGCTATATTTTCCCGAAATTCGAACAGTTTTATTCTCAATTTTCAACCAACTGAGCTCTATTGTGAATTCTCGGGATCTTAGAATGTAGAATTCGTTCTTCCAATTAGGTTCACTATTTTTGTGCAGCTCCCATATAAGGACAATACTTTGCGAATGATATACAAATATAGACTCGATTAAGAATTTTTTTTTATCCAAGAACTTTACACACATAGGCAAAATTTTTATTCAAAACTTTTTTTTATTAAGTATCTTCTTTTGTTTTCTTCTTATTTCTACATTTAATAAATATTTTGAAAGAAAAACATACACATATAAATAAATTGGTAAATGATTTGTTGTTTGACTCAATAAAATTTTTAAAATATATTTAACATATAAAAAGAAATAAGTAATTTTATTCTAAATTGAAAAAGATATACAAAAGATAAAGGCAGTTACACAATGCAATAGTGGAAAAAGATGGACACATTTATTCTTAACAAAATCTATAATCGTTTTACGAAAGATCTAAAACACTTGATATAAATGACTAAAATGTACTTAGAATTTTTAATAAAAATCAGTAAATAAAAGGAACCAAAACGTAACCAGTGTGTTTTTGGTGTTGTTTTTTTTTTTTTTTTTCATTCTTCAAGACTACACGCATAGAACATGATCAGCAAGGAGGTAATTTATAAAAAGAAATCACAAGGAATTGTTGAATTGATGTTATTATATAACGATGTCATGAAGATATTTCAGGGTTGGGTTTGTGTAGAAGCAAGAAGTCAAGTCCTTCATATGTGGAAGATAAAGAGAAGCGTCATGAACGAACATTTGATATGGCATTGCCGCAAAAAAATTATTTAAAAGAATAATTTAGAAACGAGACACTTTTGTGGGCCTTGAATTTAGAAATTGTTGTCTGTAGACTTTGATAATTTTTTCGTCCTATCTACACTCTCTGATAGAACCAAAATTATGACAATGTGACACGTATTACATCATACAAAACGCTAATATATTGCTTTTCAATTTGACAAACCATTGTACTTTTTGGAGAAATTTAATTTTCAAGTTAAAAATGCTTATCTTGGCAAATAAAATGGTATATTATAGCTAAATATATTCGTATATTTAAGATTCTACACAAATCTTGCACCACCTAAGAATTTTTTTTTTTTGAACATGATTCGATCTTCGTTTATTTATGTGATCGAGTAATTGTCATATGCTTCAACAATTTATTCATCTAGAAGCATATAGCAGGTTGTATTTTTAAATCGAGGAAAAACGCAAACTTATTTGATACGTATTTAGCTCGATCCAACAGATTTTAAGGTCTGAAATAGCACTTTACTTAAAGCTTAACCCTCATAAGATATATTTCGAATAAATTTTATCAACTATGGCATAATCTGTTTGCACAAGCCCGGATTTATATAGGCATACCCTATTAAAATGTATTTTGATTGCAATTCCTGCAACATTTCTATTTATGATGAAGTCCTTCTATCTATTCCAAAATTCCCAAATATATATCCCAATTGAAATAATTTGCTTGACACTTTGCACTTCTAATACCCACACAATTTCAGGAATAAAAAGTACGTTAACACTTTTCCAAATTCCATTGATATTCAGTCCTCCAACATTTCTAAGATGGAAAGCCTTGGCTTTCTCAACTCTTTATACCTATTGTCATCATTAATCATCGCAAAACATTCATATCAACATGCAAGTACTTAATCTTTTTTTCCTTGTGCTATCTTATGCTTTAGAATCTAACTTAACTTTCACTGCTGATCTGTGCCAGGACCTGTTGCAGTTCCTTTTCAATTGCCCCCTTTCTTGCCACTTTATCGAGTTGATCTTTTTCGGGTTTCTTTAGTGCACCGCTTTTAAGTTTCTTTTCAATTTCATCAATTTCTCTTAATTTTTTCTGTAATTTCTTGCACTTCTTTTGGAGATCTTGAGTTTCGTCTTGTACATTCAAATTGCTTGCTAAATTTTCTCTTAAATCCTCGATTTCAGATTTTGGATCACTTGATGTGGACGGCACAGCTACTGGTGCTTTTGGTTTTTGACCATTGGCAATGGGCTTCTTGGTTTCGGTAATTGTATTGGCAGGTAGTTTCAAAACGCCTGGTATGGGTTGTTTTTTGTTGGCAGCTGCTGCCGCCTCTTTCTTGGCTTTAGCTTTTTCTTTCTTCTCCCGTTCTCTTCGGGCAGCCTCTACTACTTCGGGACACAAGCCTGGAGGTAATGCATTTGCCTTACGTTGGGCAAATTGACGGCCTTTACTTTCGTATAGGGGGACTTCTTCCTGGGGGACATAACCATCTTTAACACGTCTGGCTCGTCGCCACGTACCATCCGGCCGTTGTGATGCCGGTATAAACGTACCTGTAAACAAAAAAAGAAAAGGATTTTAATTTGTTGGTCTTTTTTCAATAGAATATGGAAGACCTTCATTGTTTGTCGAGTAACTAGTCATATTGCAAATGGATTGTAGAGATTCCAAGATGTCCTTCACAACAACGTGCTGGGGTTGTCTTTATTTCGCCGTAAAAACACCAAAATATCTTTAAATGCAAAGAAAATGGTGTTGTTCAATATATGCTTCAATCTATTTCAACGTTCCACACAGTTTTATATTATTTTTTAAGCTTTTATTTGATTTTTTGTACCAAAACAAGAAAAAAACTCGCGAACCAACGCGTACCAACGCAGCTGAGCAAAGAAGAACAAGACAAAACGAGAATGACGGAGTAAAGCGGGAATGTGTGATGATGATGAAAAGCAAAACAAAAACCACGATTGCCATAAGAGGTCTGAAGGTCGGAACTGCCCGTCTAATTATTGGCAAAAGAATCAGCTGTGGTGTTCACAGAATGAGCAGAGGAACTAGGTACAATAAGAACAAACTAAACACATCGACAAATATGCATGTTTGTTATGAGATATTTTCATTTGTAAATGTTTCTATAATTGAGCTAATTTACGCTAGAAAATTATATGATTGTCAAAATCAATGCAAATTGTGTATTAAACGTATAAAGACGGAAACAAAAACACTTTGACATTATGAGGGTGTTTCGATATTCGAAATAATGAGCAATTGCTGTGTTCCATGGTAGAAGAATACAGGCAGTCGCATCGACACAACTGCTGCGACAATGAACTGTCAAATTGAAAATGTTGAATGAAGAAGATTTAAATTTGTAAAAATTGTTGAAAAATGCATACCATAACAACCTATAAAAATTGATCATCGTAGGAAAAATTTTCACAATCTTGCAGTTCTGAAAAAAAACCATATATAAAAACATTGTTATTAAATTATTTTTAAGTTAAATTAATTAAAAGTTGTTATTATGTTTCTTTTTTATGTTAAATAACAAGCGAAAACAAACATTTTTATGTTAAAATTTGAAAGGAAATTTTGGGAAATCTTTACCTTTTTTAATAATATCTTTTGTAAACGCAGGTGGAGATAGAAAATAGATTTTTTCTGGCATAAAAGTTTGTTATTGTACGAATTCAAAAAAGGTAGCAACGCCTTGGCGGAAACTTTTATATGAAATATGCGATAATTTTTAGAAACTGTTAAAATGTGCCTGATTTACCAGGTATAGTCGATCGAAGCATTCCATTTTCATAAAAACATAAAAAAAGTAAATCGAATTTTTATATCAACTTTTTTTGGGAATTTATAAATTCCTATTCATTTCAGGTTTCTGGTTGAAAGCAATATTTAGACATAGCAAGTTGTAAAGATAAAAGAATTGAAAATTATGCTCCTTTGTGGGTGAGGCACCAGAAGGGGTTCGCAGTTATATATCACCTTCACAAAGATTCTGCGTTGGCAAAAATATTTGGATGTGTGGTATTTGAAGACAATCGGACTCTTACATCACATTTTGTAAGAGTTATAATTATTCATAATGTTAAACCATTGTGGTGGTGTGGACCGATATTGTCCATTTTCGCACCTGACGTAGCACTCACGCAAATACTAGGATTCGCAAAGCTGGAGCAAAATTGGATTTTCCCTTTTCTTTCTGTGCAAAAAAAAAATATTTTTTTTTTGTTTAAATTTCCAACTTTTTGTGGGGGAGGTACCAGATAGAGCGGACCAATATATTCAATCTTAACACCGGACCTTGGGATGTGAGAAATTTGAAGAGAATCGGAGGTGGGGGAGTTACTTGATGGAGTGGACCGATATTGTCCATTTTCGCGCCTAACCTATAATTGCAGTAAATTATGATCTTTGAAAATATTGACATTTTGTGGGGGAGGTACCAGAAGGAATGGACCGATATTGCCTATCTCCGAACTCGATCTAAGTTTGACAATAATATTACGGTGTATCAAATCGGATAGGATACTCCCTTCGACAGTTATCGTGCGCAGCAGCCAGACAGACGGACGTACGGACGTACCCCAGTCAGCATTTCTTGAGAATTTTAATCACATTAGTCTTTTTTGTTTCGTTAGCGCGTTTAAAAACTGGAATATGAGCACATTTTCTGACCATACAAGACTCATTTGTCGGGAGAAAAACATGACTTTCCGTGACTCTTCTAAATAAATCACATATGAGACCTCCTCTAGATTAGTTAAAAGCCCTTTTCGACCATTTTCTGATCGTTCATTTATTGCTCAAATACTCTTAACCCTTAATAGCCTGACTTTTTTCTTTTCAATGAAAAAATTTTATATTTTGTATTTTAAGGCCCTTAACAACGTTTGTTCTACGACTTTTCACAATTTTGAGTTTTAAACATTTTAAGGGAGGTTTTGTGTGTTGGTTCTTTGAAGAACCATCAGGCACTCCTTTGATAAGTAAAATGCATATGGTTTATATATGAAATTTTTTTTATTTTCATTTAAATTATATATATTTCAGTTCATTTATTAAATGTTTTGTATGATATTCTAGAAAGCAGTTTTTTGTTGATTGGAAACATAATTCTACCTCACATTTAATGCAATACACTGTTGTTCTAGATGTGCAATTTGGCATTTTACAACGAGGTTTGCCTGTTGTTAGGTATTTCGGGAAGTGCCCAACATTATCAAATCGCACGTCACTAGGCGGCATTACTACCCGAACTCGTTTTGGCACATTTTCAGGGGTCTCGCATCTTCCAGTGCTTCTTGGCCGTCCTTTCCTTACCGATTGTGTGCCAGATTTTACTAAAACTTTGCTGACGTCTACGATAAATTCGTGCAAAATCAGCATTTTATCTGTACGAGGATATGAAAAGAATTGGCGTTTATATAAAATCCATGCATTTATCATGACCATGTCCATCATATGGTATATAAGACGATTTGTCCATTTGTGTGACTTTATTCTTATGCGGCTTCTGCCAAAACACGAATCCATAAGGCTGGAAATACATAAAGCGCATATTTGGCTGGCTTAAGTCATCGGCTGGCTTCTTCGTAAATGAACAAAGGAGTTCTAGGTTAACCAGTTCGATTTTGGCCCTAGGCTCCTTTGTTCATTTCCGAAGAAGCCAGCCGATGACTTAAGCCGGCCAAATAAGCGCTTTATGTATTCTCAGCTTAAGATCAACACCTCCCATGTACTTGTTGTACTCGTGGATTATCGCAGGGTAATTATCGATTGGGTAATTTTTCTGGCAATTTGCAGCCAGGAATTCGGTTACGTCGAACAGTTCCAAGCCCATAGATTCCCTGGGTGCGTAAATAAGCCAATAAAGGAATAGTTGTGTAATAGTTATCGAAGAAAATTTTGTAGTTCTTGAAAAGCGGAACTTTACGAGCAAGCCGCACCATAACATTTGCTGCTGCTCCCAAGTCTGGTTCATTGTCCAAAACATGGTCTTCATTGCCAGAATAAATTTCAAAATTATAGCAGAATCCCATATCGACACACATCAAAAATAACTTATTGCCCCACGGTTGAGGCTTGTCTGGCAAGTATTGTTTCAAATAGTGCTTAATTTTTGTCGCACAATTTGTTCATCGCTGCCAAACTGAACCCAACTTGCATGATTCTGCATATGGTTTTTCTTCCAGATACATTTTTTAAACTCGGAAGAGTCCCTTTCAATTGTGATATCTTTGTAAAATGTTGCATTTTGATGCCAGCCTGTCCAGTAACAACAATATCTTCATTTTGAACACTCTCATCAGCAGTTGGCTCCACACTCACAACTTGTTCTGCATCTAATTCTTTCACATTTTCGAACACATCATCCTCCACCTGATCAGAGATATTCGCATCATCATTTGTCACTATATTGAAATCGGGATCGTCTAGACTGTCGTCGTCAAAATCTGATATATCGCCAATTTCACTTTTGACCATTCAAAATCATTGACGAATGCTTCAAACTCTTCAGCCGTGGTAAAATCTTTGTATTTACGTGGCATTTTTCTATGAAAAATTAAAAATTTGCACTAAAATTAGAAAAAGACGCTAAAGCACTAACGAATTTCACTTCTCTAATGAGTGCCTACTGGTTCTTTGAAGGACCAAAGGTCTTTTACACGAAAAACACAAACAAAAAAAATTATATTTCTAAAAAGATACTTACATGGTTTGAATATAGTATACAAATAATAAAAATTAATTTTATTTGGTTCTTTTGGAGCAAAAGTTTTGATTTCAATCAATTTGAAAAAACATGATTTGTTCACTTTGAAGCTTTTGTGTGTTTTTCTGATAAACGTCAAAAATCAGGTGTTCAGCACCGAAAAGCATATGATTTTCTTTTTCCCTAGATGGCATACATTATAAAGAGAATATTTGCTGAATAAACATTGCGCAAAAAGTGTAACAGTTTTGAAAAACAAGTCTTTAAAGTTGAGGTTCCTGAAGGGACCACCAGGCTATTAAGGGTTAATTTGTGAATGCTTTTCGAGTCTTTTTTAAGTCGTTTTTTGATAATTTATGAGTCTTTAGTGAGTAATTTATTAGTCTTTTAAGTGTCATATATCACTCATATGTATATTCATTTAAGAGTCTTTTTTAAGTCTCCTTCGAGTCATTTATGAGTCTTATATGAGTGTTTACGATTCTACGAATCACATACGTGATTTATAAATAATCGGATGTACCGTGAAAAAAAGAATTTATATGAACAAAATTAAAATATGATTTAAAATAAAAATTATTCAGCTTTTATAATTATTATTTGTACTGTAATTTTAATAAATGCCATTGTATAAAATATAGCAAAGAATTAAAAAAAGGTAAAAAATAAAAAATCAAGAACAGCAATTCGGCCCTTTTCTTTCTGTAATCCGTTCTCTAGCGTGAACAAAATTTTTCTGTAGGATTGTGTTGTTAGTGTATTTGAGATGACAAATATTTGAAATAAAATATCCTTGTCGTTGTTAGTGTATTTGAGATGACAAATATTTGAAATAAAATATGTCCAATTCTGTTCATTTTACTAATTTTTTATATACGTCCTAAAAAGACAAACTTACTTTTGATTACTCTCACTAAATGGCACTTTTCTGCTTCAGACTGGTGGCTCGACGATCTCCTCAAAATTCTCTTCACGTTCCTGGACATTTTCTTATTATTCATATTCTTTACTTCTTTTTTGCAAAAATTACATTTTCAGCCTCTTTTTTGCTAACCTTTTTACTTTTGCCTTTTCTATTTTTTTTTTAAATTTGGCTAGCTGACATTATTCTTTAAAAAAATAATAAATAAATAAACAAACAGATAAACGTACACCTTTATGTGTTTTATGTATTCTT